CTATTAGAACCAAGAGATGATAACAAACAGATATTTAGGACCTGTCCTACCAGGAAGATGCTACAGGTGGATGACTGTTCGTCTCTAAAGAGGAAAAAGAGGTCCATTGGAAAAGAACTTGATCTAGGAGGTCCACAGTGTTGGGGTGAATAATCCCCAGAGGATTATTGCCACTTATGGTCCTGCCACCTGGGCACAAGATGACAGTTGGGGCTATAGAACGCCTATGTACATGCTAAACAGGATTATTCACTTACAAGCTGGACTGAAACTTATTATTAACCAGACTGCCACAGCCTTTGACCTCCGAGCCATGCAACAGACCCAGATGTGAGCATCTATCTATCAAAACCGCTTGGCATTAGATTACCTACTGGCTAAGGTGGAAAACATATATGAAAATTCAACAGCTCAGACTGTTGCATGCAAATAGTTGATTATGGACAAGCAGTTAAAGCCAACCACATAAGAAACCTAGCCCATATGCCGGTTCAAACCTGGAAGGCATTAAAGCTTGGGATCCAAACTCTATTTGCAGGATGGTTTTCAACTTTTGGTGAATTCAAAAGCTTAATTGGTGTAATGGGTATTCATTCTGCTGTTAACCTGTTTGTTGCTCCATGTTTGTGCATTAAAACTTTAGATCCAGTATAGAAACAGTTGTTAAAATAGGACAACAACTAATGCATTGGCATGATATTAGCCTTTAAGCCTAAAGGATGATAATAATGCTCTTTAATTTAAAAGATTAAATTATCCGAAGCATCCTGAAAGGGGGGAATTGTAGTGGCACCCCTCCTCCACAGAAAATCTTAATTAAGCTTCTCCAGAAATCCTCACCATAATTGTTCTTAGATACTCAGGAAAAATTTCTGCAGAAGAATTTTCAAGTGGGGGTGGTGGTTTGGTGGGTTGGGTTGGGGGGTATGTTTGCAGAAACAAAGTACAACTAACCCAAGGCCTTCTACACAGAGGGGTCTCATTTCAAAGGACACTATCAGGTCCTTGGATGCCAGCTGGTGAGAAGGAAGGGGAGAACTCTCCCTTTCCCAGGCACTGGTTTTCAGAGTGTCCTTGATTTTGTATCCAGGCCTGGTTGCCTGCCCAGAATAATAGAAAAAAAAACTGCTCTCATGTTGAGAGCCACAGCCAAAGGGGCCCCAGCAAACTTCCAGCTGCTGGCTGATGATTGGCTCACAGCGGCCCCAGCAACATCTAGCTGATTGGCTCCTCCACGGAGCTACTCATTGGGGGACTTCTTTGGCTCTGCCCACACAACCCAGCCAATCGGCCTCAAGAGCAGGAGGATTGTGGGAGGTGGAGAGGCTGGTGTGGGGGTGAGAGGCTTGTGGAAGCTGGTGGTGGCAGTTGGGCTCTGAGGGTTTTTTCCCTGAGGAGCTGTTTTGTTTGGCGTTTGTAGTTCTAAAAATAAAGTTAGTTTCTTTTGACAAGTGGCTCCTGAATTGTGCCCAGCCAGACTGCGGCACTCTCATGCAGATGTCTGCAGGTTGTGAGCCTCTGAGCCCCCTGGGTATATATATACACACTGGGTATAAAGTTCTGAAACCTTCTGAACTCGGGGTTCACAGGGATTGGCTGATGGTGGTGAAAGCCCTGCCTCTGAGCCTCGCTGCAGCCAGTAAACCCGCTTCCTGCTAATTCCTTACTGTCCACCTTCATCTGTCCTACAACAGGCCTTAGGGTCCACAGAGACCAGTGGCCCTGTGCCCCTGTTGGGATGAAAAGGGAATCCAGGGACTTCAGACTTCCTGGGGCTTTTGGATGCTGGTGCTTACTCGACAACATTTTGGGGAAAATATTAGGGGAAAAACTAAACTGATGACATTGGGGGCATTTGGGGACAAATGCAGTGACCCAAAGTGTTTTTCTGCTTGTGGTGATTGTGCTTGTGTGAGGGCCCCTTGGGCCATTTTGGGTGCTGGTGACCATGGTTCCCATTGACTGCTTGTGGCACAGAATGTCACCACCTCCTGAGGAGGTATGTCCCTGCAGAGCTAAGAATGTGAGTCACACAGTGGGACGGGTGCTCTTTGGCCTGACACCCGAGGCACCTAAACACCTGTGGGCTGTCAACAGAAAGCAGTCCTGCAGACCAGGTGGTCCAGGGGCTGTCACTTTGTCAACTGGGCCCTGGCTGCAGCAGGGCTGTTACACACCACCTTGTCCCATGGACAGTCGGGCCCGGCCAGCTCCACAGGCCTCCAGGACCCAGAGCTGCCAGTGGGCTCTGCCAACTGAGTGGTGAGGTGCTGCCCTTGGCCCCTGGGGTGCCAGGTGTCCTCCCCGTCCCTCAGGCAGTGGCTCTCCACCCAGAGATGGGGAGGCTGTGCCTGAATTGGCTGATACCTTTTCCTCCATCCCTTGGAGGGCTGGAGATGGAGGCCGGTGTGCGCTCACAGGGCACTGAATGCGTCTGAGGGAGCCTGGGTGCCCCTGCAGCAGGCCACCAGCAGGCGGGGCATGACCTTCAGCAAGCCCCAGAGGCAGGACATTCTGGTCATCCATTGCATCGATGACATTCTGAGAGTAGGGCAGCTCAAAAAACCAGTGGAGGTGACTCTGGGCTTGTCGCTGACACAATGACAGGCACTCGTGAGGGCAGTAGACCCAATAAACTCTAGACTCCCGCAACAGGGAGATTCCTGGAGGCCCCCTGGACAGGAAGCCAGAGGTGCACGCCAGCTTCAGGAAGCAGACACCTATGGCCTGGTGACACCCACTGATCATGAAGGAGGCCCATGAGCTGTGGCTCCTATGGGGAGGAGGGCAGCGTGTGCTCCACCTGGGTTTCCTCAGGCCCTTAGTCAAGGTGACCTGCAAAGCAGCCAGTTTTGGATGGGAGCCTTGCGTCACAGGCCTCTGGAGGCATTCACCCCTTCACGGCCCAGGCAGTGTCTCTGGGACCTTAGGGGCTGGCCCAGTGATACCACAGGCGTCCATGACCTCTGTGCATGGTTTCTGGTTTCCGTGGCAACAGGAAATTGCCACTGGGGTGCATCAGCCTCATGGCTTTGGGACACACGAGTTGTCAAGGTGTCCCCCGGGAGCGCCCCTATTGAATGGTAACCCCTCGTACCACTGGTTGCTGGTGGGGCGACAGTCTGGGGCTGGGGTGCCACATGTACTGCTAGGACCTGAGTCGCCGGCATTAGGTGCTTACAGATGCCACAATAATACTGGACACGTTCAACAAACGCCATCCATCACCAGATGGAAATGAGGCATCTGAGATGGGCCCAGCCAGCACCAGGGTCTAGTGAGGCTCTTGAACAAACAGAGGGTTTGCCAGAGGGGCTGAGCCACAAGGGGGCAAGATTCGACGATGCAACCTGACTTTCGATGGTTTTGCAGAGCTAAAGGTCTCTGGGTCCCACTGGGCCACAGCAGCCATCAGGCCATAACCGAGGCAGGACCTGGATGTTTTCCCAACATTCGGCATTGTGTGTGGGGCAATGGCTGTGCACCCTCCACCCCCCACTCTTGTTGCTGGTCACTGACTCAGGCCATGGGGTCAGCTTAGCTGCTCAGGAGAATGGCACCCCAATGACTGGACTCCCACAGGGTCCCTGTGGAGGGGAGGACTTGGTGGCAATTTG